AAAGAAAAAAAAGAAAAAAAATAAAGAAAAAATAAAGAAAAAAAAAGAAAAAAAAATAAGGAAGGTGGGGGAAGATGATTGTTGGGGGACTATACGGGGCATGGAGAGCATGGTAAAGTCTCATCCTTGCTACCTATATAGCATGGTTCTTGAACTGAATGTTATTCAAGAACTGTGCTCAGCTTTGTCTGAAAAGGATATAGCAAGTTTACTCTGAAATGAAAGTCTGGGAATAAACTATCATACACAGAGTGGGGATGATGGAGCACCAGGTTACAGGATGAAAGTTATTTGCTGGGGTAGATGTACCCAATAGTATTTTACAGCTGACATTTCACCAATACTGAATCAAGTGGAATCATTACCCTCAGCATCTTACATATAACACTACTATTAACATGTCAGAATGTGATTTGCCTTGACTTTCACTGTTGACTTTCATTTAATTTCTTTTCTACTCTAACCTCCTGGACCCTTTTCTTTGCATTTCTGTTTACTCAGCTATTCACAATATAGTATTGGTGGATGTGATTTCACCCTCCAAAATGAAGCATCTTTTTGAATTTTATCTTACTATATCTTATGCTTATTGCAGTCATTTTGAATTCTGATTCTGATCTCTAAAACATTTGTGCACCCTGCACTGTTAATTAGCATCTTTCATAGATTTCACACATAACCATAGCTCATTTCATCATGTATGTTTCTAATGAATCTCTTAAAATTCTCTAATGTAGAATATAATTCTGTAGCATATTCACATGCTTATATATGTCCTTCTTATCCTTTAGCCTCTATTCTGAGAATCCCTGAGCCCTTCAGTAGTGGCAGCAGTATTTAATACTAGCACTCATTATCTAATCTGATTCATAGAACTATATAAAAGATACAAAAACTCTAACAACTGTGCTTGCTGATGTATCTAAAAAGACCAGTCTGTCATTGAGTTCTGCATTCACGTAACAGTTAGATGTCTTATCACTAATTTTCTATTCCAATATAGAAATAGGTGACCAGAAATGGGCTAATGATGCTACATTTTTTCTCACATTCTATTTGCACTATGGATTTACTCCACAATATCTGTAGAAATCCATGGGTTTATAGAAAGCTATTTCTGAAAGTTTTACTGTATCAAGTGACCTACTTTTCACCTTAGTCTGTTTGAACACAGCAGATATATTTACTATCAATTCCTGAGGCAAGCAGTGTAGTATTGCTTTGTCTAGATCAGCATACTTTAATGGCCATGCAGTCTATTAAATATCTTTTACAGACTCTGGATTTAACAAATGATTTTTAATTGACTACGTGTCAGTGGCAACATTCTAGAAAACTCAGTTACATGGGATTTTTCATTGATTTTCCCTATATTAGAAAATGAAAAGTCAGATACCATTAATTGAATTTTCACAATAAGAAGCTACTGCAAAAGTAACTGCTAAGTGAAGCACTTCCAACCTAATGTGAATAGAAGTATTCTTGTTAAATGAATCCCATATATAAACATTTATTACAGTTATGTGCCTCTGTGGGCCAAATTGATGTGAATGTAATTACAATCTATAATATGGAGCCATTTTACGCATTTCCAGGAAAAAATAAATAAATAAATCAGGTGTATTCTGCACTCATTTATCCTAATACAGTATTTATCTACATCCAGCAACGTAGCAGATGGTTAACTGATGGTTTCTAGGAACATTTACTTACATCTCTGACATGAGCTTGTACTTACTATTAGCTGCCCATGCCTCAAAGACAGAGGTATTAATTTACATTAACTTACAACCTTACTCATGTTTACCCAGGCTACATGACATTTTTAAGTAGCGTATGATCCTGAATAAAATCTATGAGACTGTGACATACATGTTCATTATCATTTCTGGTTCCCAGTTTCAAACACATTTATGCATCTTTCTAACTTTCTTGTTTCTACATTAGCGTAGTAAACCTTTTATGATCACATATGTTTTCTACAGATGTAATTGCACATTTCTTTCACTTGATCACATTTATTTTGCCAAAATTGGCCCATGGACTCTATAGTTGAAGAGAGATGATATTAATAGTCTGAATGGGAAAATTAATTTGATTATGCACAATTTACTGTAGTGATAGAAGTTCTTATGCCTTTGCAGAGAAATAAAAACCCACGACCTTTCTAAAGTATGTGATGTTGCATTCAATTTCCCTGCATCTGATCGATAAGCAAGCAGGAAATTATATCTTTTGCCATGGTAGACAAGCATAATTAAGCAATAAGGCAATGGAGGTAGTTGTGATTATCTTAGGATGCACCTGGGAGCTGCCTTGTTGCTATTTTAAAACATCGTTATGCTAAGGGAACTGTATTAATTTCTGCTGAGAAAGATAAAGTTGGCTGTTTGGAATGCTCATGAGCAGCAGTTTCAGTTGTGCTTCACAGAGAGTAATGCTGTGTGTTCACCCCAAACAATTTGGCTTCTTCTTCAACAGAAACAAAGATGGAGCAGGCTGTAAACATTTAATTGACAGTTCAGAAGCAGGAGAGAAAAAAATGCTTTGGCTGGCTGCCAGTGAGTGTAAAACTTACATTTTTTTCCAGATTAAAATAAAAATATGTTGCCCCCAACACTTGACTTCCAAGGAAGGCATTGCTGCATAATTAATGCTATTGCATCCACATTCTAATTTATGCATTTTAATTATACCAAAGGCCCAGTGAATAATTAATGCTAGCAAAACAATGGATCTGAAGCATAAGCTGAAAAGTATCACTTTTTAATGGGCTTTGTAGATTTAAATAACTAATAAAAGCTATTTAACTGTTTAATTGCAAGAATATTTCCCCCTTACATAATCAAGTACTAACTACCATGATTGAGCAGCCTCTCAAGTGGAGAAGTGAAATAGGCTACCTGCTTTTAGAAATGACCAATCTGAGTATACCACAGTATACTAATCCACCCGAGCCATATGCATGGAAGGAAAGGATTTGTTTGGATATTTGCCACGTGGGAAGGACCTGCATGATGTTGGCATCATCTCTAAGATGTAAAATTAATTTCCAGGTACAAAATCCCTCTCTGACCTCCTGTCTTCAAGCTGGTCAGTTCACACAAGGTTCATGGGGAGATTTGGAACTGAATATAAAGAGATATGATGTAGAATTCATTATCTCTGAATTCAGTAATCTAAAAATTAAGGATGTAGGCCAGGTTAGTAATTTAGAGCCTTGCAGTGGTTGACAGAGTTAGTGTCTCTGGAGAGAGTTTCATCTCATCCAAAAATAGGCTTTTGAAGAAGATGAAATTAATCATTTGGCAGTGGCTATCATTTTTCTATTTCTTATAGAGGAAGCTTAGAGTACTGCCTTAGGTGTATGGTCATACACCTAGCTTCTAGACAGGCTAGTTTAGGTAAAGTTACTCTCACTAGCAACACCAGCCTCTAAGATACCATGTGAGAAAGACCTACTGATACCAACCTGATGGCTTATAAACCAGGGCAAAGCTAGGAGGCTCACAGCACAAACTCATCCAAAGATCTAACGTGTCATACGGACAGCCAACATTCCTGCTGCTTGGTCAAGTCCCAGGCCTAAAATTCATGACTTTCATTAAGAAAGTTCTTCCCTCCAGAGAGGCTGAACACAAGTGCACTTGTGTTGATCTGTCCTGCACAAAGGCTTCCCTCCTGATCCCTGCACTCCTGCCAGGCAGTGACTGAGGAGGAGCAGGGTGTCCCAACCAGGCAGCATCTCCAGGCTTTGGCATACTTACAGTTTGTCACAGGCAGGGTGATGAAACCATGCTGACACCAGACAGTTATGTCTGCATAGCATGGAAAGTCTGGTGGTTAAAAATATGCTTTCCTTTAGATGAATAAAATGATACAGCAAATGATAAATTACTGCAACCCCAGCCAATAGCTTACACATGCAAGTAATATTAACTTTTCAATGTGAATATAAAATGAATTGCTTTAAATGACTTCTTCATTATTTTTTTTCTATGTCAGAATTATAAAACTCTAAAGTAAAACATTTAAATGTAACAATAATAATAAGATAATGTAGGACTTGTAATAGAAATAAGATCAGCAAAGGCTTCTTCCAGTTTTGAATATCAAGACCTTTATTTAAGTGTAGTATTTGTAGTTTAGTAGCTAATAGCTCTTATGTTTTAAGTTTTCTCTGTGTACCTAGTATATATTGAAAGTAAAGTACCTGACCCTCCAGAGAACCTACCTGAGTCAGTGAGGAGACAGAGGGAGAAACCACTTGTTTTCCCTTTTTTTCATCTGTATTTGCCTGAGACTGGACATCTTCCAGCACTACAGCAGCATGAGAGTTGTGCTAGATCGCATCAGTGGTTGTGGTCTGTCTCTGGCAGGTGATGGTTGCATTCAGCAGGATGCAGCTCAGGTGGGATGGTGTATAGACCCTGGGGAAGGGACACGGTGGCACAGGAAAGGCTCCTGCTGCAGAGGCACTGCTCCAGGGAAATCTCAGCCAGCCATAGCCAGCTGCTGTCTGGCCCTGCTGAATATTTGATGTGACGTAGAAAGCAGAACACAAAAGAAAATATGTCTTAGTATCAGGCTAAAACTAGTTTCTTTCTTCTGAGCAACATCCAAAAGAGCAAAGGCTCAGAAGCAGTGCCAACCAGGAGTGTTGTGGAAGTTAATTCATCCTCCTAGTGATTTTAAAGAGTTTATCCTCATTATTCAGATTTTCTACCCAGGAGCCAGGCAGTGTCCTAATGTGCCTTAATTCTCCATACTTTGCTTACTACGGTACCTAAAATGAGTGCTAAGAATAATTATGCAAGAAATACAACTATTTAATTAAATCCAATTTAAAACCCAAACATTTTCAGCCTGTACTTTAATACTAAGATGGTGCCCAGTGAATTAGCAGTTCTGGTCAGTCTAGTGTTTTTAATGCAGATGACAAAACCAGCATGAGCTCACGACCTGTAGCAAAGTGTCTCCCTTTGCTTCTGCCTTTGCAGGACTATGCTGAGAAGGAGAAAGCTGCAGCCAAGGCTCTGGAGGATGTGAAGGCTAACTTCTACTGTGAACTGTGTGACAAGCAGTACCACAAACACCAAGAATTTGACAACCACATCAATTCTTATGACCATGCTCACAAGCAGGTAAACCTGACAAATATCCATAGATATTACAGTTGCCCATTTTTCATCCTTCCTTTTTGTGGGGTTTTCTAAATTCACTCCAGTAGAAGACAAGTTAACATTTGATGCTTTTGAATTTCACACACTATTTTTCATTAAAATCAAGTGTAAAATATTCATTGTTTTAATCTTCATCACGATTTAAGCCCCTTTGTCTGAAAGATCATGGTAGTTTTAGATAGGTGCTCAATACCAATATTCACAATGAAATAGATACATTAAAATGTGAAGTTACTTCTAAACTAGAGGGGGACAAAGAAGCACTTCCTCAGATATCCAGGTCCCTCTTTCAGATTCAGAAGGCATAAGATCATGCTGTTTCAAGCTGGTCATGCTGTTTCAAGGGCAGGAAAGTAGTTTTTGTGTTTGGTTGTTTTTGTTGTTGTTTTGTTTTCTTTTCTTTTCTTTAAAGCATATGTTTCTGAGGTTGAAATCTATGTCTCACAATGATTCTCAGGGCGGAATACATTTTGCCTTACATGCAGAACATGATATAAAATGGCAATTACTATTGAACAACAATATATTGGATTATTGGGAAAAGATAATAGATGCTAATCATTTGTCATCATTTTTGCATTTACTTAATTGGGTCTATATGTGATAGATACTGATGTATGCCTGTTATTATTCTATGTTTGCTTTCTGCATCCTAGTTTTTCCTCTAATTTTAGCAAATTGCATATTCCTGTTGTCATTATATAAGAAAAATGCAATTAATTATTGAAAGAATTTCAGAAATCAACAAAAATCATTGACAAAGTTCAGGAATGAACATTTCTGAACCTCTGATGAAACTAATCATATGGGTTATTCTAATATGTAAGTTAGAACTGTAGCAAGATTCAATAAATGCACATTTTTCTACTGTTTTTCTACTCTCTCTTACATGTGCTACACAGTTCAAGTTCTCATGCGTTTGTGTACATTCAAACTGGTAGTGTAGTGTCTCCTGGGTACATTCTTCTGGGTACATGGGGGTCTGGGCAAATATATGAATCATTTAGAAGCTGCAGGTATTTCTTCTACAGAACTAGAAGGAGTAAATGTTAAGAACAACAAATGGCACTAAAGGCAAAACTTCTCACTCTCACTGCAAGAAATCTTATTGTCTTTTGCAGTATTATAGAGAATGTAAATCATCCTGGCATTTTCTGTGTACACCTATCACAGCACTGCATGAATGAGCTGGTTAACATCTGCCCACTCATCATGATGAACCATCCTGCTGAATTCAACCAGCCCAGGGTCAGCTGTTCATGGACATTAATAGGGCTCTTCTGGCCCATCACACTCAAACCAGAGCTAGATTAATCTAGTGTATTTATGTATTAAACCAAAGGCAGTTCCTCACATCCCAGCTCCATTAATTAATCTGCAAAAATGGTTCTAATAATACAAAACAAATGCATTTCCAGATCCTAAACATGTGACACTAATCCCTAAAAATCCCCATTTGCTTTAGAAATATTTTTTTCACCCTTCAGCTGATTTTCTACTTGTCAGAGATCCAACTGATCTCAGATGGATCAATTTTTGCCATTCCCTCTTCTCCACAGCTCCTGCAGAGAGCATCTTATGCAAAATAAAACATCCTGCTTGATGCACCATCTATGTTTGTGCTGTCAGGCAAGAGAGGTTTGGGCACCTTCACACTATGAAAGGGAATGTTTTAGCAATAAAACTCTCTTTAATTTGTAGGTAAATTCAGTGCTTTAAAATCAGCCATACTGATGGTACTGTGAACTAAGGATCTGCATGGAAATGCACCACACATACAGAATATCATCTGGCAGTACAAGCTCACCCCACCATGCCCTTTCAGATGTAGTTCAGAAGCTCAGTTAGTGCAGGATTAGCTAGCTGTTCTCCTGATGTGACAGGGTAATTCAGTCTCATCTCCTTTTCCCCTTCTTGACTGCTCAGCCACATCTGGGAACAGCATTACTTTGCCTCTAGGAATATCATGAATGCTGCCTTTTCTCTGACTTTTGTGGTTGGTCACAAAAAATGTATTCTTCTTACTTGTATGAAATTAGTCTTCAGACAGAAGTTAATTTATAGTTTCCTGTGATTTTAGTTAGCTTAGCTTCAAAACTGTTTGCTCCAGGAGGTGTAGTAGCCACAAGAAAAATTTCTTTTTCCTAAGGTATACTTTATGTTTCCCAGAAGATATTTGAGGATACCATTAGTCATACACATGGATATGCTCTGAACACCGTTCTTCTACTGCAGATTAAATTAAAGTCAGGGACTCTTTAGATTTCACTAACAATATAGCGTAGTCCCCCCATGTGATTCCCCTTCTACTTAGAAATCTGTATTAAAGTGGCAATGCTCTTTAGAGAAGATATAAAGACAGAGGGAAAAAAAATAAAAAAAAAAATATTGCACAGAGTACTTTGGCATAAGCCTTTTCTTTCTCTTCCAGAGGAAACAGATTTTATTCAAAGACTTATGACTCTAATCTCCCAATATTATGGTTTTATAGAATTAATTTTGTGATCTATTTTCTTATCTATGATTTCAACCAATTCTAAAGCAGAAAGTACTGAATTTTGGACCTAATCGTTTTTTTTTGCATTCCTGACAGGAAGGCAAACAGCCATTGCCTTCCCTGTCCTCAGAAGACTGCAAAATGTTATGATACAAATTTGGTCTTGTTTGTGCAACTAGTCTTTCTGTTGTGTTGACTTATTCTCAAGCAATATACTCAGGGATACTTTCTTTCTCTCCACACTGCATACATGCATACATATACAAATACTACACATGTATATGCACATATATGCATACATGTGCATACAAAGAAAACTTTGATGGAAAATTTTCTGAACCACAGATCCTTCAAGATCATCTGTGTCTGTACCCTCATAACACTAAAATGACCCTGGAGGGGTCTAATGTGATTTATATATCATTTAGTACTTTTGACTGAGTATTAAGCAGCTCTTATTTGATTGTCTTGACAGAATTAGTCTTACATAATCTTGCCGGTGTCTTTTCTGCTTCACTACTCTGTAATCATTTCTCATTGATATTATCTGTTATTGGAAATTAATTTCTCTCACTGCAAGTCTGGATATAATGAGCTCACAATCAGTCTCAATGGAAGCCTTCACTGCTACATGACTTAACCTGAGCTCTCCATTGTTAAGCTTGATACTGCACCAAGGCTGAGGCAGGAATAAAGGTGTACCCCAGAATGAACCACTCCTTTGCTCCTGATCTTCCACTGCCATACAGCCCTGTGCATGCATGTCTCCCTACCTCAGCACATACCAGCTAGCCCACTTGCAATCGTGTTTTTCTTTTGTGTTTTTTCTTTGCTATGAAACCTATGACTTTATATACTCAGCATCAGTCAATCTTCAGCAGCAGTCACAGGCAGTAGTACATTTGGTAAATCTGCAGTATCTCTCATCCAAGCATCAAGGTGCCTGCACCAATGCTTGCTATCACTTGCTTGTGGTGTTCTCCTTAAGAGAAGTTGACTGCATCAGAACTGATTATTTCAGCTCTATTGAAATTATCTGAACACTGCAAAGGGTCCTGGTATGAATTTGTTCAAAAGTTGTTTTTATGTATTTAATACAAACTGCTGCCTGAAAATATAACATGTGAATGCATGTTACACTTTGATGAAAAAGTAATATGTAAGTACAGACTTTTTAATAGGATTGTTAAGTCACTTGTATCTGTAAAAGGAAATAAAACTTGAGCAGAGATGTCTACTTGGTTAACGCTATTAAATGGAATCTTTGGAATCTTTTAATACCTCCAGGTCATGCATAGCATTCATCCATTCACTTAAAGTAGAAGTAGTGGGAGCTTTCCACTTTTGTATAAATAATCCTTAGCAATCAGCTAGGCTTTCAGATGTCAGCAAAGGAGAAAATTACAAATCTGTTCCATGTACTGAAATACAATAATTGTGATAATAATAATAATAGAAATAAACAGCGAAGAAAAACAAGGCTGTATTGCCATCTTGGGGTTTCTGACAACAAAACAGCTCTTTTAGTTGTCAAAATTTAGAGATACTGCCTAATCACATTCATTCAGATGAAAAAAAAAATGAATTTTAGTATTCTTGAAACACATATTACTGTGAAGTAGGTGAACAGAATTTTCAGTTTACACTAGTTCACATGTATGTATTGGTATTTAAATCCATGCATACTAGCACTTGGGAGTATCTTCTACATGAAAGTCTGATTTAGTGTGTACAGCTGTAGGCACTTGCCATTAAGCCTTTATGGTGCTTGTGGATTTAAACTCTAATTCAAATGGAGATTTAGCTACTGTTAAACATCAAAGATAGTAAATATGCCTACATTTTCGCTAGCTTTGTCTCTAACACCTAGAAAATACACAGATAAGTAAGCACAGAGAAAGATCTAGGAGTGACTGAGATTTTGTTCATTCATGTTTAAGGTCTTTATTTTCCAGCATCTGTATGTTTATTGGAGAAAAATATTATATTTTGGCCCTCATGTACACACCTCTTAGTACCGAAACAATTTTCATTTCGAGGAAAGCAGACTGGTTTGTCAGTATCCAAGAGAGTTCACCTCAGGATTTGGGAGCAAAGGCAAACACAGCATCAAGAAACCTTCTGGACGAAATACCAGTAGTTGTAGGAACATATTAATCAAAACAGAAAGGGCTACCTTGGCATGAAGGTGCATGACTATATGCATTTGTGTAGTCTCTGTTTTTTTCCCCTCAAGATATCGGTGGACCCACTGTTCCTTTTATACTGCTTTTTAAGGCCAGTTTGTACACCTTAAATCTCTGTGTATTCCTCAGAAAATAATCTAGCCAGCAAACGGCTTCAGCATTTCTTCCTCAAAGTTAGAGAAAAGTGTTATCTGCAACCATTGGCATTTTATTCCTCTAACCTTGCAAAAATCAACTTAGATTGATGCTTGTTAAGAAATACATATATGTTTTAAAAA